CACAGTGCAGGCAGATGGGCCTCACAGCCTGAAGGAGCCTCTGGAGTCAGCTTTCCTTGACAGCTATCCCAGTACTGCACCCTCCTTCCTGAACCCCACCAAATCCAACATCTCCACCCCACAGGTCCAGGTGCTGGGAAGGTTAGGTCATACCTTAACAGCCCTCTGGGCCTTGGTCACCTTCAGATTGAGATCCTGGCCATGTGCAAACACCTCTCTCAGCCCGTTTAAAATTCTGAACAGTTGAGGGCTGAGTGGATCCATACTGCGGGGTCAATGAAGGTGAAATGGGGGCTCCATGTCAAGTGATTACCTGTGGTGTGGGACCCATGAAGACCTGCTTCAGAGGCATTGCTGATTCCTGAGGATGACTTTCCAACTTCTTACTGACCCCTACTTGGGGGAAGATGTTCTGTTCATTGGAAAGGAGATTGAAGAGTTACTCTATGAGGTTCAGGGTGTGCTCAAGGCAGGAAATCTTGAGTATGGCAAAGCATCTATGGCTGTCAGATGTCATGGAAAGCAGACACGTGTCATCAACCCAAAAATGTACATGAAGACACACTGTGTTCGGCCACATATCTGGGTATTGTCCAAGATCCAGTAAGCAGAGCAGGTTCAACCTCTGCCATTTTGAGTTTCAATGTTTTTTGGAGTCCACGAAGTCACTCTTGGCAGTGGAACAGATATGACTTCACCTGAAGGGAACTGTTTTGGGTTCCAGCCTCCCTAGATATGGGTACAGACCATGCAGGAGAAGGTCTACAGATGGAAAGAGAAGTGGGTAACACATCACTTCCTGAACTAGAGACTGCAGAGAGGCAGGACAGACATCAACTGACCACTCACTTCTCAGATATTCAGGGAGCAGCAGCCCTGAGCTCTTGAATGTAAGGACACTGCAGATACCAGTTTCTGCCTTCACCAAGCTGACCTGCAATGGGGAGGGACAGGGAAACATTGTGTCGGGCTTCCTTGAAGAAAGTAGAGGTGTGATACAATTAAGAAAGGTCTCCTTCTCTTGGAGATTGCTTTCCCAAGGAGCCTCTCTGGGTGGATGAGGATGGTGCCGGATGCTGTACAGACCTGGCACAATGCCATGCACCTTACAGGTCAGCTGCACATGTAGCGAGAGGAAAGGCCAGGCCTCTCATTCTGCTCCCTCCCTCTCTGCCCCAGTTCCACCTCTTCTGTGCTTGATTCCTCATTGCAACTCTACTGTCATGGGGATCCCCAGGCTGAGCTTCTCCTGGACCAGCTGGAGCCTCCTGAGGCCACCAAGCCTCAGTCCAAGGGTAAGGTGCCCTGTGGTATAGCATGAAAGATTCTGGGGAGGGGGGTGGGCCTTGGAACTCAGCAATGTGCCCAGTTGCTGGGTGAGCCAGGAGCAAGAGACCCTCAGCAGTCAGTGTGTTATGCAGTCTGGGAGGCTTTTCTGGGCTGTGTTGGTGCACATGGCTGCCTCTGACAGACTGTGGTTGAGTTTTTCCCTGAGAAGTCCATGGACAGTTGGTGATCTTTTCTCCTCCTGAAACTACAGGTCCAGTCTCAGCTCATGCAGAAGTTGCACCTGAAGACCTCCTGCCAGGTCCACCTGCAGCTACCTCACCAGCTCTGAACCAGCACCTGGATACCCTTGTCCACCAGCTGCAGAGCTGGACATCCTGGTGGCTCCCCAGCAGGGCTCATCTCATGAGCTCTACCTGTGGGCAGCTCTTGACCCACACCTGCCTTTCCCCTCTCTTCCAGATTTACTTATTATTGTATACACTGCTACCCTTATTTCCCAGAGATATGTCAGTGATGGAAACAATATAAATAAAGTTTAAGATTTTGGTCTTGTTTATAAAAATCACCTTGATTTCATTGTGTGCATTCTCAATTTTGTGCAAGTTTCACTAGTGTCCAATTCCACCACAGTTTCCTCAGTTTTGTACAAAAAGCAGTTTTGTTTTCTTTTCCCTCCTGCTCCATCCTAGCCACCACTGATCTTATGTCCTCCTAATTTACCTCTGCTATATTTTCCACATCAATATAATCAAGTTTCTCTTGGACCAGGTGATGCTGTAAGTGATGTTTTAATCTTAGTTTATTCTTAAAGAGGAAAGCATGTTTGATAAATATCCTTGATTCATCTTTCACATATTCAATTAATTAACCATGTTTTTTTCTTGGACCAGAAATACATATTATAGTTAAATATGCAATAAAATATCAGTGAATAATAAAAGAAATGACATTGTGGCTATTGTTCCATCTAGGAATTGTGACCTCCCTCCTAGGTGCTCTTCCTCCTATCTTATCTTCGGGTCAGCCTGAGTGTTTAAGCCTGTGTGTGGGGAGTGTGTGTAGAGAGCAGCTCCTCAGGGATTGCATGTTGGACACAGGGACACAGTCTTGTCATCCAATATGCCATAAGAAACAGCCACCTTTTTAAATGTCATTTTTTGAGTTAGCATCCTAGCAGTGGAGTTTCTAGGTCTCAGTCATAGGAGCTGGTATAGGACCTGTTCCTGTCCATGGTTCTGAATATACACAGTGTCTGAGCACAGAACTCCATGGCGACCTCTGATGCAGCTGGACAAGTTCCTGTGTCCCCTTGGTGACAGTGCATCTCCATGACATCCCAGCAGACTGATGAAGAGCATGAGCTGTAAGAAACTTTGCTTCTTACAGATGAATGAACATTTTCTAAATCTTAATTGAGTTTCTGTTACAAAATACTAGATCTCAGAACATGCTGGACACTCGGGAAATTTGGTTCTATATTGCCTCGTGGAAGTTGTAGAATCCTTTGGATTCAGCTTCTTTACAAGTGTGTAAATTTCCTATTTTTACAGGAGAGTGCACCTAGGGTCTTCTCATAGAGCTACATCCCCTGCCCTTTTTACTTTTTGATTTTTAAATTTGACACTGGGTCTCACTGTACAGCTAAATTGCTGAGTCTGAGCTCCAGTGTGTAGTCATCTTGCTCTAGTCTGGTAGAGTATGGGGATTAAAAAGACTTTATACCTCAACTGGTTTCACTAGGCATTTTTAATAAACCAACTCCAAATCTAATGGTATGGTCTGGCTGACCAACTTTAGAACATGGTTGGTTGGTCTTTCTCTCCAGGCTGTGCCCAGGGGTCATTTTATGAGATGTCAGTAACATTCTGCGCTTGTGTCAGTTGAGTGACCTTCTTTCAGGACCAACTAACATGCATGTATGACATAGGCTCTGCATTGAGCTTCCTCACACACTGGACCCTGAGACACCCCACATGCTTTGCCACCTCTCATCAAGGTGAGCTGGGAAGATGAGGCACAGTAAGCCCATCACAGTGAGCCCTGCCCTGTTCCATTCCCAAATAGCATGCATGAAGGGTAGTGGCTGCAGACTGCCCCCTGTGCTGAGTCTGTGCCCATCAACACTGCAGAAGCCATCTGATCAGTGTCCATGAGAGCCTGAACACATGACCTCCACCAGGCTGTCCCAGGTTCCTACATGACCCCACACAAACACGCACACCAGGCCAAATGGTGATAAGCTCTCAAACTGTGCATCACTACCTTCTGCATTGGCCATAAAGAAAGGACACCCCAGATGGAGCAGGGGCTTGTGCTGGCAATGGCTGTGGCAGGAAATAGGTGGCCAGTTCAAGCAAATTTGATAACAGTCACTGGTTCATGGGTTGTACTATAATGTACCACATAGGGCCTAATTTCTTTTCAGCACATTTAATGTACCACGTGCCTATTATCAATGTAATTAGTATATAGTATAAATAGCAATAAAATATATAATAAACTATGAATGAATACACAGAAAGGAAATCTACATCTGAGATTTCAGGAGAAGAAGAGCAACTAATGAAAAAATCTCACACAGGAAGCAGACCCTCTGCATGGCTGGCAAGGAGTCCTTCAAGCAGAAGCAAGCCTGAGAACAAAGTCCCAGCTCTCCTCAGGCTAAGTCCTCGCTAATGGAATTTCTGGGACTAATCTTCCTATCATAGGAGCATGCACTTTTATACTTTGCTCTAGGTACAATCTAACAGAGACACATAGAGATCTCACTGTGTGCTGGCTACCCGAGATCCCCAGAAGCAGCTCACTCTTGGGGAGACAAGTGAAACCTCACTGTCAATAGCAGGTGATGACTGAGTCATGGAACAGAAAGGGAAAAACAAACACAGGCAAATCAGGAGGAGCCCACAGTCTGGCTCCCAAGCCCTGCCTCTGTAGCTCTGCTCAGACCCCTGATTTCTAGCAAAGTGATCAAAACTGATGTCTCTTCTCTGGCCTCAGGATAAAGGCTTAGAATTGGCTCTGACAGAGATAGCCAAATGAGCCCCCATCCCTTCTGTAACTGCTGTCTCCAGGAAAAAGCCCTTGGTCCTCCTCCACCTCCCTCCCTAGTTCTCTCCTACTGAGCTTCCATGGCTGAGCTACTGCCAGGCAGTCTGGGTGGAGATGCTTAACAAGGGCTTCAGTATACATTTATGTATACTGTATATATGGGATTGTCAGATACACACAGCCTTCCAGTAAATGGTCATGGGATAGAAAACTGTCGTAAAAAATGACATCTGACTGGAAGGAACACTACTCTCTACTTTATGACCCCAGAATCAATGTGGTGGGGAATGAAATACATGGGGTTCTCGCACCTCTCTGCAGCCTCTCAAAACTCAGCCAGCCCATTGCTGATTGCACAGATGCTTGCCTCACCGACCACACTCATCTAAATGGACACCTGGACCCAGGTGCTGTGACTGTGTAGCCAGAGAGCAGGAAGGTGACAACACAGTGGCAGTCTGGCAACTAGCTGGCCAGATAAAAAGAATTGATCCCATGGTTCTTGACCAGAACACCTGAGGGAGAACCAATGGGACAGAGGCACATTCCATGTGTGCATTTTACACAGGTGGGACTTGAGCCCATCACCTGTCCAGGTGATGTCCAGCTTCTGAGGGGCCAGCGACATGCCACTAACAAGCTGACTATACTACCAGTCCTTATAACATAGTCAGCTGGTCTTGGCACAGGAAAGGCATGCATGGCCCCATGTTGGGAGCCACCGCTAGTTCACCATGCGTGGCGGTCATGCGGCCTGTAGGAAAAGGCAAAGCCTGAGCTAAATTACCCCTCCCATCGAGTGAGCCAAGATGGCGCCTGCTTCTTGCCCCCTGATTGCCCTGGCGACTTAAACAGCCCGCGCAATAGATTGGTCTACCTAGCAACCAATGACGATGACCAATCAGCTTGCATTGCTTGCTGTTGCCCTATTGGATGATGAGTCCATATTTATAGATATGTGACCCTCCCTGCAAGAAGAGATAGAGGAAGTCCACCGGTGAGAAAGGACTGGTGGCAGAGCAGAGGCCTTGCGCGGCCCACGCGGAGACAAATAAAGACAAGGTTGCTCACCGTCAGAATTTATCGTGTGTTGTTCCTGCCGGCCGGGAGCGACACCGACAGCCCCAGTACGGAGAAATTTGTCCCCAGACACAGTTGGTCTGGGGCTCCATTACTTACTTGGTTTCCAAAGTGTGGTCAAGATCTGAAGGACCTGCTTCATAATCTGGTTTGCCCAACCTTTGTCCTTGGCCAGATTCCATTCTGTCCATGCCCTGAGTCATTTCAATGGTACTGTGTGTACCTAGATTCCTCCAGACAGGAGCATCTGCATTTGTCTCCCTATGTATCCAGATACACATGCATCACACAAGGACCACACCTTAGGTCACCTCTGGGATGCTCCGTAGTAACAGGTCTCCAAATTGCCATTCATGGTGCTCAGCTCCCACATGGAACCATACACAGGGACCTGGATTTTTCCATGCTGCCTGGTACTGATCCTGTGCTTTAGCTTGCCATGTGCCATGATACCAGTTCAAGTGACCTCCCTCAGGTTAAGGGAGTAAGGGAGGCCACATTCCCAGGTACTTGCCTGCCATGTGTGAAAGTGGGGCCAAGAGGTGCTATTTCCCTGGACCTTCAGCCTGGGAATGACTCCTCTCAGACCATAGTCAGAGGAGCAAGCTGGGGAATCGCACATCTGCTGCCTGGAGAACCATGTTCTAGTCCAGGTCAGAACAGCTGAGACCCTCAGTGACCTGCGGGGCACAGGGGTGGAAGTGAGGCACATGTCCATCACAGGGCTTAGTAAATGATGCCAGGGCAGAAGAATGAAACTCAGTATCCTCTATAAAGCTGTGTCCACCAGGGATTTGGGGTTTTGGATGTGATGAGTGCCTGGGGACAGGGCACAGGGCCTGTGGGTTGGTTTGGTATTGAAGTTCCCTGTGTCTGGGGCATGAGATTTTCTCACAGTTTGGGAGATAAAGGGGTATTTTGGCAGGTGAGATCACTATGCAGAAGAAACAACACAGAACCAACATTAGCAGCAGCAGTAAGCAAGCATCTTTATCATCCAGCCCATATATACTGACCATTGTCAGGCATTAGATTCTTGTGCACTGTTACAAGCGTGACACATACACAGTTGTCTATGCTAAGTCTTGCTTATATATCTGTGACCATGGTGTGCTAATGCTAAATGGTGGGGACATGTCCTTACGGGTCCTCCAAACCTCTGGGGATTGAAGCAGTGTGAAGTGGTTTCCCACATCCCACCCCCTCAAAGTTGGGAACCTGTGCTTATTGTAAGTGACCCATCAGGTGGACTTGTGCACAAAAAGATAATAAAGGTAAAGGCATAAAACTGCTAATGCCACCACAGCACAGCTTATGGCCACACAGAGCTAGGTGGATCCCAAGCATTCCTAGTACTGGATGAGCAGGTTCTGCTGTGCCATCTGGAGGGCAGAGAACTTCACACACATTTCTTGCAAGGCTTCTTGCTCCTGCCTCTGGTGATCAGGGAAATCAATGCCACATTCCACATGCAAGAGGGCACAAGTCCCTCCTCTGCTGTGTTTAGTAAAGCAAGGGTCATGTGGTTTAGCATTTGAGAAATTTATCCATTAGCAATGTCAAATCCTGGCAAGTGAGGTTCAGGGCCTGGATTACATGTTACCAAGGGTTTCAACCTGGAAGAATGGGTCTATACCCTTGGTCCTGGTAGCAACCCAGCCACCAGATAAAACAACCAGGCCACCTGTAGAGTATGGTGGCACCTGTTGAGTATGGTGGCATCTAGAGTGCAGTGTCCCAATAGGGCACTGTGTCTGTGATGATGGGTTTGATAGTGCCCTGGATATATGGGAATCCCCAGGTGCAGTTTCCTGCTCAGTGTGTGGATATTTATAGGCAGCACATGGCCCATATTTATAGGCAGCTCATTGACTTACGAGGCTGCTATAGTTAGCTAATCAGTGGATATCACTCTGGTGAGCTTGTTGCCACCCCAAGTGTTTCTATCATTTATCAGTTATACATGGTTACACAGGTACCACTTGACCTGGTACTTATGCCACAGTAGGGTGCCCCAATTCCATCTTTACCTGTTGAATACAAAGTGGGGCTGCATCCCATTATGCTCCTTGGTTCCCTGTCACGCACCCCCAGTCACTGAACATAATAGACCCCAGTCTCTGTGGTGAGGCCGTGCTCTCTGAATCAGCACCTTGATGGCCTGGTATCTCTGTTCCAAGTCTGCTGCCATCAACCAGTTTATCAAAGTCTGCTTATCTCCTCACGGGCTGTCCTTGGCATGTTCTGTAGAACTTGTCATATAGAATGAGTGCTGTTTGGAATAGCCTTTGGGACACCTCCTGTAGGCTCAGCTTTGTGTTATCAGCCCCATTGTCCCATAGCTGTAACAGCCACATTGGAACAGTTTCACTCACCTTTTATTTGAATTATTTCACCAGCTCTGATGTTCCACAGCCATGGAGGCTGCATACATGTGTTACAGGTAGAGATGGATGGTCCTGAGACTCCCCCTCCTTGGGTTAGGGGCTGCTCCAGTTGCACCTTCTGTCAAATAGAAGGCTTCTCATGCAATACCAGGGAACTCTCACAGGGACTGTCCTGGTCATGGGGCCTTAACCTTAGGAGAGGGTGGTACTCCCTGGGTTGTGCAGTGTGGCTTCTGTAGGAGCTAGCTGCGATTCCACGTCCTCCATGGGATTCACATGTCTATCATTTCTAAGGCCTTCAACATGTCCTACAGTGTCAGATGGACCACTTTCCAGTCTCAAGGGCCTCCAGCTCCACCAAAAAATGCCTATGGTTGACAGGGAGATCCTAAGGGAACCTGACTACAAACCCTCAGGTTTATCGCTTGTTGTCAGGTGCTGTCTTCAGAGACTACAAGAGGGACACTCACTTCATCCTGCCCACTATGCTATTGATCTGGGCTATGAGGCCGAAGGGGTTTTTTTCAGGTGAAGTCCCCCGAGATAACAAAGCATGCAGAGCCCACATTAGCAGCCCAGCAAGTAAGTGTTGTCACTGTTCATCCTGCACTACTGGCAATTGCCAGGCATTCATTCCTGTGAAGGGCTTTCTCTGCTCATCTGAGAGCTCAACACCTCTGCTTGGGTCTCAGAGGGTGCCTTCTTTGGTCAAACACACAGCCATCTCGATGGCTTGGTGTATTACTTACTTTATGCTCATCACTGAGACAAAAAACCTGATGCCCAAGTTCGGAAAGGAAAGTTTTATTTCTTACAATTTTTGGAGGTTTCAGTCCACACTCAGTTGGCTCCAAGACATGCAGGCATGGCTGTGCTGTCTTTCATGGTGGCTGCAAACAGCAAGCTCAAACCAGCAAACAGAAAGATATACCTTCTTCCTGCCATTACATCACATCCTGGTTCCACCCCTATGTGGGTGGAGCACTGACACCATCAATCCAACCACTAGAAAATGAATGAATCACAAATACACAATGCAAACTCATGAGGCCTGGGGGACACAGACATAAACCATGACATTCCACCCCTGGCCCCCAGGACTCTAACGTACATCTTTTATACAAAAGACATTTAGTCCACCTCCAAGAGTTGCCAAAGTCCTAACAGTTTCAGCATTGCTGAATAGTCCAAGTCCCAAGTCTTCTCCAAGATCTATGGCAAAATCTTAACTGTAACCCCCTGTACAAATGAAACAAGATTAAACATTTCTCAAATGCAAAGGCAAAAAATAAACTTTTATCATTCCAAAAGTTACAAACAGGAATATAAAGCATTGGAACCAAAGCAAGTCCAACATCCAGCAGGGCAAACATTAAGTCCTAGAGTTCCACACTCAGCATCTGAAGCAATCTGGTTGCAAGCTACAAAAGGCTTGGGTGATTCCACCCCCAGGGCACTTCCAGTGATTTAAACTCCTGCGGCTTTTCTCTTAAATCTTCTCTGCTCACTTTTTGCAGCTTCCCTTGGATCATTCACATTCCTGGCTTTTCCAAACTTCTGGGATCTCCACTGCACCTTCAGCTTCACCCTTACATTTTCACAAATTGCCCTCTCAGGGGCAAACTGCTTGGCCTCGCAGGCCCTTTGCAATCAAGGTAGAAGCTGTCTTACCCTCAGAACTCATGCATTTTCCTTGCACCTAAAATCAGCACCTTGTGGATGCCACCAAGGTTTGCTGCTAGCTGAAGCAGTAGCCAGGCTTTTCTCTCTCCTGGCTGTAGGGGTCAGTTGCCTGATTGTGAGAAAAAGCTTCTCTATATTGCTGCCATTCTGGAACCTCACGTGGCATTTGGAACATGGTGCTCTGCAGCTTTTCCCACTGAAAAAATTTTTCATCTTTGCTGTGTGGCTGCACAGGGTGGGGACCCACTTCCTGGGATGCCCTGAGGTCATCTTTCTTATCTCTCTGTTTCTCCTCAGGAATCAAAATCTCAACTCTGTCTTTACAATCCCAAACCTTCCTGGAATTTTCCTTTGGGCCAAACTCACAGCATTATACATTATCCTGCTGGGCTCTTTGCTCTTGATTTAAAACAAAGCTGGCTGAAAGCCCCCAACAATGGCCATGCCACAGCCTCAATGTTTGATTGCTTTTTAATTTCTTTTTCAAGATTAATCAGTCCATTGCCCTTTGTCTCAGTCTCAGGCAAAGTCTCTGGGCAGGAGCAAAATGCAGACAAACTTTCTGCCAATCCATAACACACATCCTGTGGATTCCAACGACCAA